GCCCTCGCCTCCCAACCGAAGGCTACTTTAACATGTAAGTCCCAGTCTTGTTTCAGTTAGCTCTGGTGCTCTGGGCACAACCACTGGAAAATGGGTGCGTTGAGGGTTGAGGAAGTGATGTCACTGGGGACCCCAGGTAGAGTCTGGGCAATGACGACAACAGGACAAGAGAGGCCAGCAGAGCCCTTGCTCGTGCAGTTAGCGATGGAGGGAGCCGCGGGGTGCTGTTTCTGGAGCAGCTGGTTCTAGGTGGTAGCTGCAGGTCATCGGGGGCCACTCTGGGAGAGGCACGTCAGTGACAAGGCTCAGGTAGAGGTGGGAGCTTCTGGCTCCACCACGCTGGGTAATGGACACAAGGGCGCCGCCTACTGGCTGCAGAGATCAAGGGGCTCCCTGGTTGGATCCACTGGGGGCAAAGGAACTGTATGTAGCTTAATTTGCTGGGCCCCTTCTCTGGGGGTTTAAGCTGTTGGAAGAGGGGCCTTTTTACCAGCCACATCCCCAACACCATCATCCTTTACGCCCACCGGGGCGCATCCACCTGCTGAGTCTTGCTGAGACACTAGGTTCTATTACACTGACTGGGTGTCACAGAGGAAGGGCTCAAAATGCCTGGAATCACGGGCTGTCTATCAACCCACAGAAGACCCTGCCTGCATGGGTTTCTCATCCATGAGTGTGTGTGTGTGTGTGTGTGTGTGTGGTGTTTGGGGAGAAAGGAGGATGGAAGGAGGGAGGGTGAGCTCTTGTGCTGACAATTGCAAGTCTGTTCTGAAGCCCAGAGGAAAAACTTAGTACAGACTAAAAGAAAGAAAATTTCAGGGTTTCCAAGAAAACTTAAATAATTGCTGTTATTCCGGCCCTCAGATTGGTGGTTTGTTTGAGTAACGGCCTGGCATGAGTCCTTGACACCACACTTTGTCCTGGAGGCCAGGCTGGCTCTGTCATGCCCTGAGAGGGATAGCCCAAGGGCATGTGGTATTCTGGGGGTCCTTGGCAGCAAGGCAAAGGGACGAAACTTCGTGAGATGGTTAAGATGACCTTTCACCGAGGAAGGACATGTCCATGGGCTTGTAGCGTATCAGACCTGCAGGGCCTTCTCTCAGGTGTAAATTCTCTACCCTGCAAATGCTTGAGCTATCTTATTACTCAAGCAGATCTCAATGCATAGAAGGACGCCACAAATGTCCTTATTCCTTGGGGGCACCCTCATCTTGCATCCAGCTGTCCTGGGTTGAGCCGGAGGCTGGTGGGATCCCTGAGCATCTACTCTAGCCACTGTGTCTGCAGAGGGGTTGAGTGTGCTCTGTCTCTGCGTGTGTGGTTGTGATGGGATTGCTTTTTCAGTCATGATTCGTTCAGGTGCCTCTTCCCTACCCATGCCAGGACATCAGCTCCCCGGGAGAGAAGAGGGTTGTTTCTGGAGCTCCGAGAGGTGCAAAAGTGGGAGGAGCAGTGGGGCTGGATGCTGGAGGCTGGAGGCCTGGGTTCTCGTCCCAAGTCTGCCATTAAGTGGCTGTGTCCTTTTGAGCAAGTCATTCAATCCCGCCAAAAAGGATGGGGGCAGGACCCAGCCTGTATCCTCAAACGCTGAAGCTTGTGACACATCAGCCAGGCTTCATGAAATCCATTTGGGCAGAGTGGATTCAAGCAGGCCTTCTCGGGGTGGGCTGCCCGGGAGCTCGGGAATGGACTCTTCCCTACCCTGGGGTCTCCCACACTGGGGCTCAGTCACCTTTCCTTTCTGACCTTTGAAACACCACTTTTCCAGGAGAGTAGGGCTCTTGAGCCACTGTCGTACCCCTGAGTAACCTGTTTTGGGGGGACCCTACATGCGCACTCTATACATTGCTTCTTAGATGATCTCCCAAGGGTGGCCAAGATAACGTCCTCTATCTCCAGAACAGAAACACACACACACACGCACACACAGGCTAAATCTCCCTCAGAACATCCTCAACTCCCTTAAGAGATGTCATTGTAAAAGTTGAAATGGGTCACTCTTGTTTCTCAGGTTGTCCCTACTGACAACAGCTAGATACACGACCTGGTTGCAATAGACGAGTGTTTAGTGTTTGAGCTCAGGATCCCTCTCTCACTTTTTAGAACAGCTCTCCTTGGATAGCTGCCATTTGCTTATACTGGAGAACAATCCCAGAGGCTTCTAAGTGAATGTTGCTGTCCTGATTACAACTCAACCGTGACTTCCCACTAAGTCAAGCTTAATGTAGTACACAGGCTGAGAATGGCCTGTCCCTGCCAGATTCTGCACCTTGATCTCCCTCTCTCTCACCCCCCCGTCTCTCTCTCTCCCCCTTCCCCAACATTGCCCAGTTCTCCCTGCCCTTTGCTTTCATGGCCTATTGTGGCAAGTGGCCCCCAGTGGAGCCCCAGGATCCACATAACAGACCACGGTTAACTCTCTGGGAAGTGTTTTGATCCAAATATTGAAGAATAAAACAGCAACCGACCTTCCCCAAAGGTTTCAATAGTTGCCTTCTGGAGGGTCATACAGTGGGTTTCCCCAAACTCCCCGAGTCACATCAGGAAGGCAGGATCATGATGATGAATGGGAGACATCATTGGGAGGATCTGGACTCCTTGCCATGCCTCACGAGGACTCTCTTGCCTACTTGGAGAACTCCGGCACTTGGGGGGCACCACAAGAGGGAGCCCTGAGTATGAGCCCAAGACTCAGTATACCCACACCTGAGGGGAAGGTCGTACAGGGACCGGCTGACTTATTCCTCCAAGGCAAGCTTCCTAGGATCCCTTGAATGTCCTGGGATGGATTATAGGAGGTCTATAAAGGCCCTGCAACAATATTTTGGGATATGTGCACGCATATTTCTGGAATGAGGGGCCATAGTTATATTCTCAAAGCCATTTTGAGAACAATAGAAGGTTAGGAGCTTCCAAGGGGCCTTCTCATAACTCCCAAAGGATCAAGGTTTCCCAGTGTTGCTGAACCAAACAGACTAAGTCACGGAGCATGGGTTTAAGATTCTCTCTGGGTTGGCCATCTGGATCAATGACCTCCCTCAGTATTAGGAGAAGCGTGTTCAGAAACATTAGGTAGCCTGGCTGAGCATTTAGTTTGCCCAGACTGTCTCCTTCCTAGACTACAGATTCAGAGCATCTGATTTACACCCCATCCTGGATCACCCCATCATTTCCCAGAGAGGGCTCTGTATGGGGTCGGTCAAAGAGGGTTTTGTGGATTCGTGCTAATACTGGTCCACAGTGAGGTTAGTATAGAGAGTGAGAGTCGGCATTTGAAACTTTTATAGCAACTTGACATTGTCGAAAGATCCAAGAGAATGATCAGAGTCAGCAAATGTGGCTTGGAGTTTAGCTTTGCGTAGGAGTGTTTGGTGGCAAAGTTGCTATGATAGGAAAAGTAATTCCCCAGATTAAGGGGATTGGGCCAGAATGTGAATCCATGCACTCCTTCCCTTCATCGAGAATGTCTTTCCAAAAAAAAAAGTAGCAAAACTAAACAGTAGGCTTAGTGAAGAGGGAAAAAGTGTGAACTACAGAAAGCTAACATGCTAAGCTGAAAATGATTGTCTTTACCATGGCATAGTACGGGAGCTACCTTGGTGAACAGCCATTATTCTCTACGAGGTAAAATGGTCATGAAGGGGAAGGTCCTGTGGAACTATTCAAGCTATGGAACAAACTCTTGGAATTTCTGCAACATAAGTTTGTCCCAACTTTTTAAAATATGTCAATTGGACAACCAGATTTGTGTATTTATGCAGTATACTCAGTTATTTTTGATGACCTGAATACTTCCTGCCAGGAAAGAATTGTGCCATGCTTTTTATTAAAATTTTTTTCATGGTTGTATCATTTTTACTAAATTAGCCATCCTGTGCACACGTCAGATGAATCTTCCAGAAACTTTATTTTTTAAATCATGTCATTACCCTTTTCAAAAATCCCAGACGTTTTCAGAAAAGGTGAAAAATCCAAGCTTCTCCATGGGACAGTTAAGATCCCCTGTCACTGGGCACTGACTCGTGTTTCCAGTCCTTCCTACTTTCTTTAAAAATAAAAATTGCATATATATAAGCGGTAAATGTGATCATTTGCTGTACAGTTACACAGTGACGTGATTGCTATGACCAAGCTATCATTAGCGTATCATCCCTTCCCAGTTACCTTTGTATGTGCGTGTGCGCTGAGAGCACCTGAAATCTGCTCTCTTAATAAATTGCCAAGATTCAATTCAGTCTTAACCATAGTCACCATGCGGTACATTAGACCTCTGGACTTAATCATCCTACATAACTGCAGTGTTGTGCCCTTTGACCAACATCTCCCATCACCTGCCCCGTGGTAAGCACTGCTCATTCTACTTCCTGCTTCTATGATTTTGTTAGATTTCACATATAAGTGAGGTCATGCAGGGTTTTTTACTTTCTGTGTCTGGCGCATTTCATGCAGCATAATGTCCTCCAAGTTCATCCATGTGGTTGCAAATGGCAGGGTCTCCTTTCGGGGGGCTGAATGATATCTCCGTGTGTCTATGTATGTGTATGTGTGTGTATAAATTTCTTTATCCATTCAACCATCGGTGGACACAATATGGTTCCATATCACCATGCTTTCTAATATCAGATAAGATCAAAGGACAAAAACAAAAAATTAGAAATTTGGAAAAAATAGAATTTCAGCAGATTGTTATAATGTGTTCCATAATTTGGGGCACCTGGCTGGCTCAGTCAGTAGAGTATGCAACTCTTGATCTTGGGGTTGTGTGAGCCCCCACGTTGGGTGTAGAAATGACTTAAAAATAAAACCTTTAAAAAATGTGTTCCGTAATTTAAAACACTTAACAACAAGGTAGTATACACATATCTTGATGTTGCATATTTGTAAAACTTATCAGTTTACAGAACGATGAAACACTTTGAATTTTGAATAAATTGGAGTGGAATGGAATTTTGAATTTGACTGGAATTTATTTTCCATCCAAAAAAATCAATGCATAAAAAATTCATGGATTCAGAATCCATTTTTTTCATTGAAAGATTATTTAAATTTAACTACAATTTTTCAGGATAATTGTTGAAACTGGCTACCGAAGAAGCCCTGAAAATGAAGGTTTTAAAGCTTCACCATTTATCTTGTTTTGGATAAAAGTTAACAAAATAAATATCCCGAGCTTGATGAAACTTTTTCAAAATCTCTGTCCATCCCTATACTTTTGTGAGACTGATTTCTGTACAATGGACTTTGTTAAAACAAAACACAGAAACAAGTTAGAGGCACATTGTCTTCTGTGACTCGCATTGTCATCGATCCAACCTAAATATATAAGATTTTTGTTCAAAATGTGTGTATTGGGGGTTAACACGGGGAGTGAAAATTTTCTAATTTGAAAGAATGATACAAGAACACCCATCCACCCACTGCCTAGATTCTTCAATTAACCTACACAATCCCTCTGTCACGTACCTTTTTTCTTATGTACTTGAAACATCAGTGCACTTCACTCCAGTCCTAAATATTCTAGCATTCCAGAGTTCAATATTTGTTTATGGTTCTTCTCTATTCTTTGAGGTAAAATTTCTATACAGCAATATGTGCAAGTCTTAAGAGTTCTAAGCGATGAGTTTTGGGAAAGGTGAAAACCTCCGTGTTGCAAACCTACGAAAATTTGCAGCAATATCATCACCCCCAAAAGTTTCCTCATACCCTTTCTGAGTTGATCGACGCCCCCCACCGCAAGAGGCGACCACTGTCCTGATTTTTTTCCCACCTTAAATTAGTCTAGCCTATTCTGGAATAATCCTACAGTATATATTCTTTTGTGTCTGGTTTCTTTCACCCAGCATAGGTTTTTGAGATGCATCTAGGTTGTGTGTGTACATGCTTCATTTCCTTGTATTGTTAACATTCTGTGTCTGAATACATCACCCTTTGTTGAGCTGGTTTCCTGGTGATCAATGTATTGGCTGTTGCCAGCTTTTGATCGTTATGAAAAAGCTGCTATGGACATTCTTGCATACGTCTTGCAGAGGATGCTTTCGTTTCTAATCAGAGCATACTGAGGAGTAGAATTGTTGGCTCCTAGAGTGATTGTATGTTCACCGCCTTTGCTGGTGAGCCATCCAGCCACACGTTGGCTCGCTCATTTTCTGTGACCGTCCATCTCAAGTGCTCGCTGATCTTTGGACGCTCTTAACCCTCCAGATCCTACAACTCTGATGCACACAATCTCATGATAGCCACCTTGTTCCCACCTCAAGGCCTTGGCACAGCTCTTCCCTCATCACTGCTCAAAGTTATCTCATTAAAGTATTTAACAAGTTTATGGGTTTGTTGTCTGACTCCCCCACTCAAGGGGAGCTCTGTGAGAGCAAGGGTCTGGCATTTACCACTGGGTTTCTGGGCCTTGGACAGTCCCTGGCACAGCATGGACCCCATAAATTTTGGTTGAATGAACAACTTGAAATTAGCAGTCATGGCATTGGGAGAGTATTCTTGCCACACACACACACACACACACACAAAATAATAATTATAAAAAGCGTGGGAGGAAACTTTTGGAGGTTCTATATATGTACATGGCCTTCATGGTGGTGATGGTTTCATGGTGTATATTTATCCCGTTTGTCATCTACGTTAGACATTTACAGCTTTTTACATGTCAGTTACACCTCAGTAACGTGGTTTTAAAAACATAAAATAAAAAGGTAATTATGTACACTACCATGGTAATGTGGAAAAGTGATTATAAACATTTAAAAAGACAAAATCAGATATTACAGTTATAATAATGTAAAAATAAGTTTTTATGTGGACCCAAATTACAAAGAAAAACATGATTGTATTACGAAAAAAAAAATCAGTCAGTCAATCAATCAGAAATCATGAGGGTCTTGTCATCCAAGACAACACAGACTGACTTCCATGCACATCACAAATGCTCGGGTCGCCATTCAGCCCGACTCCCAGGGGTTTTGAGTCACTGACCTTCTAACATAAGTTGATTCATCAAGAGCCACCTCCAGCCGCCGGGCCAGCTCCGCGCAGTCGGGGCCTGTGAATGGGGCCCTTGTCACGTTTTACTGTGTGGTCATTCACTGGAATTGGCTCGCCCGGCCGAGAATTTTAATTTTTTTGAAAAAATTCAAACCATCCTGAAACACACAAGCCAAGTGTCCAGGAGAAGGTAGGGGAAGGATGAATACATTTATTTGGGAGGCTCCTCGGGGAGACTGTGGAAGGCAGGAGCCCGCTCTGCCCCTCTGAAACCCTTTTAGACTTCCTACCCAAAGCACCTGGTATATCAGTGCCCAGGGGAGGGGGGGGCAGAGGGGGGGGGGAGCACCCAGGAGGGGGTCCGAGGTGGGTAAGGGAGCAGGAGGGAGAGGGGGAGGCCATGGCTGCCCTGGGGGAGCCTCAGACGTCTGGCACTCTCAGCCCTTCACATCATCAAGACTTGTTGAATGTTTGCTCCCTAAATATTTCATAAATCTGTCCCCACCCTCCGCCCCTGAACAGCCTTTGCTCAAGGGCCATCATCACCCACCTGGGCTGGGGAATTTGGCTGCCTCCAAACTGGCCGTCCAGCTTCTTGGCCAGCCTCCACTCTTATTCCCAGCCACCGCAGTGGCACTTCCAAAGTGGGCATCTGATTGAGCCTCCTTGGAGCCATCATCGCTGACCGCTAAAACCCGACTTCTTCCCTGGGGCTCAGGCCTGTCCACACTTGATGCTGCTGCGTCCCGCCCATCTATGCTCCTGCCACACCTCCCTTGCCGACACCCTGTCTCTCCTTGACACCGACCTGTAGGACCCAGGAGCTTGCAGTGTGCTGCCCACACCATGTTGCTTCACAGTAGGGCAAAGGCTCAGAAGTGTCAGTCTGGGAACAACGGGCAGATGGAGCTGGTGAAATCTAGGAAGGCTCCCTGGAGGAGGTGATTGGAAGCTAAGTCTTAAAGGGAAAGTTAGCATTAACAAGGCAAAGAAGAGGGGGAGGAGTTTTAGGATTAAATCCTTTGCTCCAGGATTTCATGGATCTTAAGTGGCAAAGTTGATGTTTCTGCTTGCTTGGGTGGGGTTGGGGGGATGGTGTGGGGGAGTGGAAGAGAGAACAGAACATGGCACTCTGGAGGCCAATCTTTATGTCCACTAGGGTCAGGAAATGAGTCTTTGGGCTGGCACAAGGGAAGGAGTTGGAGCCAAGACACTTCCATAAAGCCAGGACCGCTTTAGAAGAAGAGTCTGCTCTTCTTGTGGCTTGAGGCCCGAAGATACGTGATCTCTGAGCGGCAGTCACTCCCAGCCTAAGAAATGATCAAGGCTAGTGCCCAGTAGTCGATTGGCCTGGAGGGCCTTCTGCAGTGGGGAGCAGATGCAGTTATTCTAGATGAATACTCCCCACACCCGGGCAGCCAGGGATTCTCACAGGAGAAAGGAGTTCTGCCAAAACGGAGTTTAAAGAATGTTAAATGTTGGTAAGATACGATTCACCGTGAGTGATGGTCAAGGGACTGGGGCCTAAGAAAACCAACGAACAGACACCAACGTGAAAGAGAGAGCAAACAAATACACTTGGTAGATCAACACATTGGATAAAGACACTGTAAAAAAAAAAAAAAGTAAAGATTTGAAAGAAAACCTTTGGGGTTGAAGAGCGCCCCCCCCCCCCCCCCAAATTCATACCTACTCTGAGCCTCAGAATCTGATCTTATTCGGAAAGGGGGCCTCTGCAGAGGGAAGGAGTTAAGGATCTCGAGATGGAAATCACTCTGGATTGAGGGTGGGCCCTAAATCTGACAGGGGCAGAGAAACCTGGATGCACAGATGGAGGTGGAGATTGGGGTTCAGCAGCTGCAAGCCCAGGGCTGCCGGGGGCTAAGAGGGGCAAGGCAGGACCCCCCCTACCACCTGCAGAGAGAGCCCAGACCTGCCGCTTCCTTGATTCAGACTTGTAGTCCCCAGAACGGCAAGAGAATACATTCTGGTTGTCTCAAGCGACCACGTTTATAGTAATGTGTGGTAGTTGCTCTAAAGAAGCCGAGATGAATACCGCAAAATGAAAAGTCTAGTCTTCATCGTATTTTGTTTGAAAGTTTAGAGAAAAGTTCACAGACCCCTGTTCTCGCGTATGGCGGTCAGCTGGATCCAAGGGCCCCTCATCCTAACATGTGGTCCCTCGGTATGTAAGGCCCACTGATCTAGAGAATGGGACGTCAGCGGAGAGGCCTGCAGGAGCCACCGAGGGAATGGAGTTAGTAAAGGCGCCGAGGAACCGAGCCCAATCGGGGGGGACAGGCTGCACCTGTGGGGGGACGGTCGAAAAGCTAAACGCAGAAACGCCTCCATAACATAACCTCATATTTATGAAACGGGGGGAAAAATCTGCAGATATCCCCTACAAACATGTGCCTCTGTACAGACACGTATGTCAAAATATGACTCCAGAGCATGCGGGACAGGTCGAAGGCTGTGTCGCAGGTGGATGGCGTGGGTGTTCCCTGGATGGAGGGGGGTGGGCGCTCCTGTGAGTGGGCGGGAGGCCGAGCCCGCCGGAGGGGAAACCGAGCATGTGTGACACGATCCTGTTCCTGTTTCATGTCAAATTATGCATGTAAAGAAGGAAAAAAATAGAAAAACAAGCCAAGACAAAGAATTACAAGCAACATAAGGTACAGGCACGGAGAAGCTGCTCGGCTCCAGCCAGCCACCGTCCGAAGGGAACGCAGGCCCTGTGTTATCAGATCTCCAGATGCTGCAAAAGCAGCTAGAAATTGGGATTTGCACGCGGAATTGAAACACTGAGCAGCTACCAAACACTTAAGGAAGAAATAAAGCCAATTCTATATCATCTCTTCTGGAGAACACCATGGAGGAGAACCAAACCCATCTGGGGCCACCTCCAGCACACACAGGTTTGCACCCCCTGACCTGCAGCAGATTGAGCCTGCACGTGCTTGGGGCTAGAGCTGGGCTGAGGCCTTCTGATTCGTCTTTGAGAAGTGAGGGGGAGCAGGAGGGACATGTCCTGAGCGTGCCATGTGCCGGGCCCTCCGATAAGCCCTTTACATGCTTTTATTTATATATTTTTAAAGATTTTATTTGACAGACACAGCGAGAGCAGGAACACAAGCAGGGGGGAGTGGGAGAGGGAGAAGCAGGCTTCCCGCGGAGCAGGGAGCCCGATGCGGGGCTCGATCCCAGGACGCTGGGATCATGACCTGAGCCGAAGGCAGACGCTTGAACAACTGAGCCACCCAGGCGCCCCTTTACATGCTTTTATTAATGTAATTGACACCGAGTAAGTATTAAGCCCATTGCACAGATGGTGAGACTGAGGCTCTGTTGAGTAACTTGCCCTGGATCATCCAGCTAGTAAGTGTCTCCTCCGTGCCCCACGGCCTCCTTGTAACTCAGAGTGTCCCACCTCACCTTCCCCCTCTCTACCGGCCTTCCACTTCTTCCCTTCCCCCTCCCCCACCATTATGTCCCAGGCTCACTTCTTCCAGGTCCAGCAGGCACGGCAGCCGGGCTGGGCAGGGCTTAGCCAAACCCAGGTTGTGCTTTGATGGGGGCACCACTTATCGACTCATAGATAAGCATGGACAAGGGGCTGCTCTGGAAGCTCAGGCGAACCTCTTGCTTTTTGGTTGGGAGAATTAAAGCCCAGAGGGGGGCAAGCCTTGCCCAGGGTCACACAGCTGGAAACCCCCTGCCCCGTCTTCCCCAAGCCTTCCCTCTGGGGCATTATTAAATGGATCCAGAGTTGTCTTTAAGCCTCAGCAGGGAGTCACAGGGTGAGTTCAAGGAGGTTAGTGGGGAACAGACTGGGGGACAGACAGGGTGACCCCCTCCACCTCCCTCACAATGCCCACTAGAAGGCCAGGCGGCTCCAGGCCCCCACTAGCAACTGGGGGCTGAAGGAGCTCTGTGAAGCGCAGGCAGATCCTCAGGGTTTGCTCTGTGTTTCTCTTTCCAGCCGCAGCTTTTCCCCAGGGTTTATTATTAGCAAAAATCACAAAGCCCCGGATGGCTGGAGGCTGGCCCTTAAGCCCTGCAGGCGCCTCTCAGCAAATAGCTCCTTTGGAACCAGGCAGCATTTCCTGAGGAGGGAGCAGGGCTGGGGGAGGCACTCCCGTCCCCCCACCCCTTGGAGGAGGCCCCTGTGTGAGGTCTAGCTGCACCCCGGGGCGGGTGGACTCTCGTGGGCAAGTAGCCTGCGCAATACCATGGAGTCCCCTGTCATGACTTGAAAACCCGTCAGGCCCGTGGTTCTCCCTCTCTATGTTCCAGGCCCACTCACAGCACTGGGAAAGTTGGTTACATTCCTGCATCATAAGGACGCTATGCATCCATTCCTGCACCATCCCTCCGGGATGATGAGACATCTATCTGCTGGGCAGCCTCAGGGCCACTCAGACCCCAGAATCCACCCAGGCATCTCCGCTCTGCTGCCGCCTCCCAGCCCCATCCTGGCTCCATCCTCGGGGCTACCACCTCCCGAAGGCCTAGCTACAGGTGTCCTCCTTTTTTAGATCCTGTGCTTAAAGGTGGGGAGTGGGAGGCTATGGTCCCTCCATGCACCCCCCCTTCCCCTGGGATGCCCTGGAAAGCCTCCCACATCAGCATCTAGGCACCACCCCATTGTTCACGTCCAACCCCCTCCTTCTCCCTGGATTGGAAGCTACTCATCAGCCTCCTGGGCCAGAAAATCCTCTCACCCAGGTAAGCACTGCTCCTAGCCCTTTTCAGACGAGCCCCTGGACGACAGCTTTGAAACTTAACATCAAGCATCATTGTCTTCTATTCTTTGCTTCCTCCGAGACACTCCACCTTGGGGTAATGCTGGCTTCCTCTCTCCCCTCCCAGAGGAGGAAAGGTCATGTTAAGGCAAAATTGGGGGGGGGGGGGAAATTTTCAAACAGTTACTACTTCACATCGCATCTTGTCACCACTGCATTGCTTTTACTCGGAGGCATAGCCCCGCTCACCCTGGAGCCTGTCCTCCAGGCGGGGCTGCATCACTTCAGAGGGCAGCTTTTTCTGCTGTTGGCTGTAGGGAGGAAAGGCCCAGAGCCGTGTCTCTTCACTGTGGAAGGAGGCCGTGGGCTCTGCGG